GCTGTCGTTGCCGAACTGGGTAGGATGAGCATCACTGAATCCTTGCTGCTGCTGGCGGTGGGCCCGGGGCCTGTTGCTGCCGGCGGCGATGGTACGTCTTCCCGAGGAAGGCATCCATAACACATACTTCGTCAATCAGCATTTTCTTGGATCCTTTAACTATCCTCATCATCTCTACTTGGGCATACCGGCATATTACTTCCTGCTAAGTGCCTATTAATCACTATTATCTTGTTGAATTAATATTTCTTCATTCAGCTATTCCAAGAAATCTATAGAAACAAATCACATGGTACCATCTCCATCCTAGCTCTTTTCATACCCCGGTGTATTTATCCTTACATTTTAACCCCATCATTGGTGGCAATCCCCTCCTTTTTCTTGCCAAAAACAAAGATAAGTAATTCAATGTTTTCTTTATAGGAGATTCAAAGAAGTTTGCCAGTGCTAACTAAACTTGTTCAGTCAAGCAGAATATGTCTCAACCACAATCCAGACATTCAACCCCATTTGCCAAATGAGATAAGTGGCTCAGACACTCAAGGAAACCACATGAACATTTCAAGTGTTTTATTTTGTTTGAGGGTCAGAGTAAGGCGTGGAATCTTCCCTTAGAGGTTTGTGGGAGGGCGTTAAGTTTCCTTTTTATTCTTTGGGGGATATCTTATCACCTATCCTTGTTTTTTTCTCTCTTGTTATGAATAAAGTTTTATATCTTATTTATTACCAAAAAAGACACTCTAGGAAACCAGCAAATGAGCAGGTAGCCCAACAAGGAAAACTTTGATTTGTTATAAACAATGCCACATTCAAGGCTCAAGCAGCATCTTAATATCATGGCTGAGTATAAACATACTTCTATTAAACCAATCAGAAGTGACCTGTGACACGTTCATAGGACTAAAACAGATAAGGCAGATCAAAAAGGACATGGGTTGGGAGTTGTGAGAAATGAGTTAAAGGCCCAAGATTTAACAGTCATAGCACTGAACAGAACAGAATGAAGGAATGAGATTCATGTAACTGAAACCCATGTAGGTGGGACTAGGCTTAGATGTTTTCTTTTATTTTTATTTTTTAATTTGAATGATTATAAGAAACTTTGCTATTAAAAGGGGAGGGAGAGCTTCCCATCAATTTGAACTACAAAATCACAAGGAACCTAAAGCAGCGCCCACTAAAAAGAACAAAACATAAGGCTTAGATGATGAGAAAGCAACTAATGCAGAACAACCATAAGAACAACACAAACTTGTTATAGCTGAAAACTTACCTTATCTTTCTGTATAAGAAAGACAAGATGATGCAAGATATATTTGTTTCGCATTATAAGAACCAGATAAATAAGGCATGAATACACACATCATCTCCACGCCAAAAACAAGTTCAGAATTCCTTTGACCAAAGCTAACACAACAACAAGAACCAGCAAAACCATTATGCATTGTCATTCAGTCTAATCATTCCATATGTCGAATTTTAGAAAAGAAAATAATACAAATGTAAATTCTCATCTTCAATGACATTGCAATGATGTTCTACTGACAAATTTACGATAATGTCTTGACCATATTTACCAAATAATCACTCTTCACTTCAAGATAAATTCAAAATATATAATCTAAAACACCAACTGTGTAATAAATGTCTGTAAGATATGCTACCCAAATTCGGCAAGGGCATGGCTGGACACAGTGTCAGATATGGAATTTAAACTAAAGTGTCCAACACAAGAAAAAAAAAAACCCTAGTACAGGTATCAAGGTATCATATATCATAGATGCAGTTGGGAATTCCAATAACCTAGTAATATTCAATACCAGATCTAAAGCCATTAAATGTTAAGACCCAATGTAACCAAGGAACTAAAAATATAATGGGCTAGTCTTGTTGATACTTGACAATGGGAATGAACCTTCCTGTAACATGATGCTCAAGATGAAGTCAGCATATTGGCACTCTTAGATGCATGAGAAAGGACACATTGGATATCTTTTGCATTTTTCATCAATTTCTATAGGTAGATTTGCCATGGAAATGCAAATTCTCGGAAAGGTTTGAAATTTGACTTTTGAAACACAACCTCTTGACCAAATCTAAGTGCACAATCAAGGAAATTTAGCATGAGAAGGAAAAAAATAAAGTTTAAATTTGCTCCAATTTATTTTCTAACTTTTCTCCTTTTTTCATATTCTTTTCTTAATCCATTCTTATCTTTCCTAGTTCTGTTCCCTCTATTTTGAATTGAAAAGTTAAGAACTTCCATTAAGTTTGAATCCATTATCCCCATTAAGTAAGATGGCATGGAATAAATCTATAAAATTAGTCACCTTCCACTGTCAAAATATTGACAAGCACCAATTTTCTCTCTTTTCCTTATTTCTAGGCCCACTATGTCACAATCTGTTAATTTTCCGCTGCTATGCTCTTCAACCTTGACGATGCAACTTCCTTCTACTCTTCTGTAAGAGAAAAAAATATATATCTTTTATTGCCTCCAAAATCCATCCCTACAATTGGTGTTCCCAGCACCAAGGAAACCACAATTAGAAGTGTTTTTGGAGTGACCAAAGAGTTATGTGGCAGGTAAAGCCAGTATCTAATAACTATTAGTGTTACATATTTTCTGTTTCAAAAAAGAGGGCACTTTCTACTGTGAGAAATGTAATCTTGTTTGTCCATGACGGCTGGTGGAATGATAAGTGGAGTGTAGAAAAGGGGGTGAAGGGCTATGATGTTAATGGCATATGGTCTGTAATTAAAGATTCACCAGATAACACAATAACTGAAGCATAGATGCAGATCTCTACCAAGGTTAATGCAATCATTACAGCAAGATATAAATGGCCAAAGACATCCATGTCCCATAAAAAGAGATCTCAAAACAAGAGCAGTGCAATACGATGACCACAAATATCAATAACAAAAAGTAGAACCCCTGACCCATAAGAAAAATACTGAAGTCTACGAAGATTCAATTTTAACAGATGAGATTTCATCACTAGTGGCGGGGGCAGCAATTGGTGTCTGAGATGGGTTTTCGTTGGGAGAAGCTGCCGGAGCTTTGGATTTCACGGCTTCGAGCATTTTCTTGCTGATTTCCTTGGAGTAGACCTGAAGAATCTCAATGCCATCGTCTTGGGCAGCATTTGAAGCGGTGGACAAAGCGGCAGCGGTGGAAAAGGCTTCTTCTTCAATGATGCGAGCAGCGGAAGCGGCTTCCTCTGCCGGCATGCACCCATAGCGGTTGGAGAGTATGGAAGGGGCTGATAGGGTTTCGACTAAGCGGCTGATGACGGCATCTCGGGTGCTCTGTTTGGGAGGCCAAATGCTCAACGAGATGTGCATCTTCTCGGTTTTCTTGATGATATCACTTTGTTCTTGTTGTTGCAGTTGGGGTGCTTCAGATTCTGCCAATGTAGTCGCCTCCTCTGTCACTACGCTCTCTTCTTGATTGTCGCTCATCGCGAATGCAGTGTACACGATCCAACCAAAACGCGCAATTGTAAACTGATGTCTGATACAACAAACCATCTTGTATCTCTTAAATATATAGTTGGATTTTTTAGGGAAAATTCCCGATTGGTACTCGTAGTTTAGGTTGAGTGTCAATTTTGTACTCGAACTTTAAAACGCGACAATATAACGCCCGAATTTTTCAATTTATTACCTATCATTAGTGTCATGAAAAAAGACATAAATCCCCTTCAAGTTTCATCAAATTTACTTTATCAACCATTAGCAACAACTAGAAATGCCCTTCGCGGTTTTTCCTTCGACTATTGTTCACTGCCACTGTTCATCCTCTTCAAGCTCTCGACTATTGTTCACTGCCACGGCCATTATTCTTCCTTCTTTTTTTTTTCTTCTCTCTTTTCTCACATCTCTCATTCCCTCTTCACTTTCATCGTTCTCTTCCTTTTTCTTTCTTTGCTATTCATCATCATTTCCGATAATAAACAGAGGAGTTGCAGCGGTAAACTCCTTTGTTACTCTCTTCGATTCCTGCAACGGACCCTTCTCCCTAATTAGAAGAAGAGCATCTCAGATGGGTCTCCCTTTCATTATTTTCCCGTACAATTTCTCAAGAGATTCAATAAGATTCGGGACCTCCGGATACAACTTCCTGATGACTCCAACGACTATGGTGGTGGCGGTGATGGGTTGTTGTTGAAATGGAGGGGCTCGCTACAGAGTTGTGTGTTACTCGGGCCCTTCGGATACAACTCCCTGACGACTCCAGCGGCTATGGTGGTGGCAGTGACGGGTTGTTGCTGAAATGGAGGGATGAGTTCGGCAACTCACTATAGAGCTATATGTTACTTGGGCCCTCCGGATACAGCTCCCCGATGTGGCTATGGTGGTGGCGGTGATGGGTTGTTGCTGAAATGAAGGGCTGAGTTCAGCAGCTCGCTATAGAGTTGTGTGTTATCGGGCCCTCCGGATACAACACCCTGACAACTCCGACGGCTATGGTGGTGGCAGTGACGGGTTGTTGCTGAAATGGAGGGCTGAGTTCGGCAGCTCGCTACAGAGTTGTGTGTTACTCGGGCCCTCGGGATACAGTTCCCTAACAACTCCGGAAACTATGGTGGTGGCGGTGATGGGTTGTTGCTAAAATGGAAGGCTGAGTTTGGTAGCTGGCTACAGAGTTGTGTGTTAATCGCCGTTGTAGACGTCGCCGGAGTCGTGGTCATTGGTTTGCTCATCATCTACAGAACGAAACTGATTCTACAAATGCTTCATTACCAGTCCTGCCGGCCACCCAAATGACTACTATTCCATTGGGAATTATATCCGGGATACGGCCAGCAACTATGGTGAGAGAGACTACCTAGTGACAGTGATCTGGAGCTAAATCGAAGATGATGATTCGATGGTTGAACTTCCACTCCAACTTGGTGACGATGACGAGACTATAAACAGGAGATAGAGGTGGCATAGAGAGAGAAAGAGAGAATATTGAGAATGTGGGAGAGAAAGAGGGAGGTAGAAGAAACGACAGAGAAACCATCGCGGGTTCAGATTTGCCACCGGAAGAGCGAATAGAAGTTGAGGAATGCAGAATGGGTTCTGTCGTCACTCTACTTTTCGATGAAGATGAACAGTGTTTGAAAATGAATTGGTGATTTGACGAAAAGTGTTTAAGGGCAATTTTAACATTTTTAAATTTTTAAAAGTCTTAAATCCCATATGAAGCTACGTGATATGCATAATTGACGGACTAAATTGTTACAAAATAAAAGTTCGGATATCGGTTTTAAAGTTTGGGTATTAAATTAACACTCGGCCTAAATTACAGGGTACGGGAATTTTTCTTTTTTTATTGTACTATTAAATAGGGTTAATTACATTAAATGAAAGTATTTTAAACTATTCTGACAATTATTCAAAGGAACCCTGAAATTCAAAAACTAATTAAAATAACCCTCAACGTTTCCGTTACGCAGTGCCGTTAAATTAGACAAAAATACGCTTTTACCCTTAATTATCTTTCAAACCTTCTTTCTATGCAATGTGAATTCTGTCGAAACATTCTAACCTACCCTCTCCGCACTGCTTCAACTTTAATATCTTGAATCCATCAACTTTGATCAGACGATTCATGAGAATAATCCCGCATCTCTCGCGTCAAAACTTGTCACCATTCACGTGATTCAACTTTTGTGGGACCGAATACTCTATCGAGACATTAAAGCTGGCGGTGTGATCTGAAAATCCAGCAAAGGATCGACACATGACTCACTGTACAAGGGTTACTTAAAACTGCATCATTCATCTATTTTTAACACTGGGTTTTGATCGATTTGGGGCTCATTGGCTACACAATAGTTAGACGATCAACTATTTTACAGTCCTATTCATGCACCTTCTTATGATACGGAAGGCATCTCTTATATATATATATATATATATATATTAATAATAGAATTTAAGTTCTAAAAAACCGAATTGAAATTATTCTGGTCACCGATTTTTGGGTTGACAGTTGGACCATTTAGTTTAAATGGATGGCTCATTTTAAATAAAAATAAAAATAATTAAAATTGTCAAATGGGTTGAACGGATCAATGATTCAATGGCCTAGATCAACAGGTTGCTGATCAAATAAATAATTTTTGACCAAGGATCAGATTAAAGATAAAACAGAACAGATTGCCTAAACAATTCTCAGGTTGAATGATCTGACCGCCAAATCAATAGTGATTCAAAAACACAGAGAAACCATCAAAATAAATTTCTTAATTTGATGATGTTTCGAGGATTACAAGCTAAATACCCCAAAGCTCAAGGAAGCTGAATTATTTGGAGCTCAACCGCATCAATTATAGTTGTAGTCTTGGTAGGTTCCGTTCAGTTTCACTTAATTATGTCAACCGAATCCATACTATCAGGTTGACCACGAGGCAACTGAAATTGATCGTTATGCTCAGTTTGGAGTATAGAGTGCAAATCCTTGTATTGTATATTATTTTATATATATTTATGCTGTGCATATTTGTATTTATACTCCATCCAATCGGAGTCTTAAGTATCAAAAACCCGTTCAATAACAAAAATAAAAAATCAAAAGAACTTATGTCAATATCAACGACCATTTAATGGAATTTTCATGTTATTTTGTTTTTGTGTTATATCAAATACAAAAAAATTATCACAGAACGAATTTTATATGAAATCATAAGAAATAATATCACATAAACATGAACAACATAACAAAAAATTATACAAATGGTTGTTTTATGCAAAAAGAAATTATTTGAAAAAAAAAACTAATAAACTAATATTCAGAAAAATGGTTCATGGAAATTGTAAAAAAAAATGGAGACGTGCCTTATGGAGGATGGAGGCGTTTGCAAAGAAATCCCCATTCCCCATTACTGAAAAGGCGATAACGTGATTATCAACCATGCCAATCACTACAACGGTCAGTCAGTTCAGGTCTACTACATTCTGAAACCCAGGAAGGAGTGCTTTTGAAACTCTAGACTAGAGTTGATGTCAATAGAATTTGCTGAACACCAACAGAATTGAACCGATCGAATATTCAGGTTCTATTCTTTTTTTTTTTTTTAAATCGGAACCGAACCAACATATTTGAAAACCAACCATCGAGTCAGATCCATTTGATTGGTTTCTACATTTTTGTGAACAGTCCTAATCATTACCCTGGTTGTCTAAGTTATGATTTTAAAAAACAATTTAATAGAATTATTCTGGTCATCGGTTTTTGGGTTAATGATTCCATTGTCTAATTTGAATAGAAGGCCCATTTTGACAAAAAAATAACAAACAATCAAACATCATTAAATGGGTTGATGGGTTGACGATTTAACTGCCAGAATCAATAAATTATTGACTGATTCAACAGCTTTTGACCAGAAACAAGATTTAGAGTAAAATAAAACCAATTGTCTAGATGATTCTAAAGTCAAACAGTTTAACGGTTCAGATCAACAACGGCTCGAGAACCGTGGTCTAAGGTTCAGAGGTTCAAAGCTTTTACACTCCATTACTGACTTTTGCTCTCCACCTTGACAGAATAAGAACATTGGTGGAACAAATTTAGTCTATTCAAAGCTTCAAAGCTTTTGGCTTCTTCTCTGACCCAAATTGGCATTGATTTATGGAATGTAAGAACAATTTTTTTTATACAATTGGAAGATTACAACGGGCGACAAGACACCTAAAAACTCTATAAGGGTGATGTCCAATTCCAATGACTGCAACGTGTTAGGGTCCAGACCTTCATAGAGGTAGGACGGTGGAACCGGTGAGGGCAAATTTGGGTTTTCAAAATTAAAAACGTCACATGTAAACAGAATCTGATGGGCAATTAATGGAGTGGTAGTGTATGTTGTATTATGTCATTTTAAAGGACATTTTAGGTAGATTGTTAAATTTTAGGGGTCTTTAAGCATTTATAAGATAACTTAGAGATACCTTAAGCCTCCGTTTAGTTTGTGGGAAGATTTGGGTAAGATGGGAAAAGATGTGATGAAAAAATGTAAAAATTTAAGTTTCCATTATTTGGTTTTATTGGGATAGAATGCGATGAGAAAATGTAAAAAATGGGAGAAGTTTACAAAGCAATCCACTATTCATCCTCGTTCTCCTCTCGACCGAACATATCGGACTAGGAAGAGAAGCGCAGATCTAAACAGAGCGGCAACTACGAAGCAATCCACTATTCTTCTCTCTTCTCCTTCTTCTTCCCCTCTTCCCCCATTTTCTTTCACGCTCCATTTCGTCACCGCTGCTGCAAGTTAGCGATAGATTTGCGTGTCCCCTCATATCGGTATCTGCGACTATGTCTGCGAACCCAAAAGAAGAAAGAGAAGAAGAGAGGAGAGAGGGAGGAAGGGAGTTAAATCTATGTCTGCGAACCCAAATTTGTGTCTGTGATTGTGTCTATGAACCTAGAAGAAGAAAGAGAAGAAGAAAGTAGAGAGGGAGGAAGGGAGTTAGATCTATGTCTGCGAAACCAAATCTGTGTATGTGATTGTGTCTGCGAACCCAGAAGAAGAAAGAGAAGAA